AGTCATCATAAGGAAAGTCCAATGGCAAATAAAACCTTTATAGTAGAACTATTTACAAGGTGATGATTGGACCTGTGGGCTGTTCTGTAGTCCACTCTTTGTCACACCTGGGCAGGTCCACTTCACCCGCAGGGGCACTAATCCTCAAGCACAAACAGAAAGAGGAATAGCTCATGGTATAATCTTCCCTTTTTCTCTAAGTCTTGGGCCATCTGGGGCAGTCTCTTGAACTGTCACTGGGAGACGGCTCACTAATTAGAGAGAGTTCAGCAAAGCAGGCATAGACCAGTGGAGTATTGGCCCCACTTGCTCACTTTGGGGCATCAGCAGGGAAGATACTGAAGTCGGCCAGCACGTGCAGCCACCAGATGATTGTATCATGGGTAATAGGGCATGATCATTAGTTGAATAAGGGAAGGCCAACTTGGGACCTTGGTGGGGTTGGATTCGGCCCTAGGACTTCCCTAGGAGTAGGGGGGAAATGGAGAAGATCCACCTGTCAGCAAAAACATGGGCAGGAGAAGAATTTTTCCTTAACCATGATAGACTATGTGCAAATGTAGCAATCCATCAGTTTGCAAGCTCACATTTTTAAAAGTCGCATTATAATATAGATGGAAAGCAAAATCTCTTTGTCCATAATTGTATTGCACTGAAATGGCAGGGATTCCTTATAGGAGAAGTTGGTGTCTTCTTCATTAAAAAACGAACAAGAGCCACATTTCTCTTCTGCCCTATCATTGGTGAGTCTTATCTAACCCTTTTTTTCACAGCATGTATTGATATGCATTTCCTCACCATCTACAGTATACATTTAAATGATCATTCATTTAATTTGATTATATTGGCAAAGAAACCTAAAAGGTGTCACCGTCTTTCTCACTAATGAGTAGAGACTGAGGAATTTGCAGCCCTTGGAAAGTTTTTGTTTCAGCACTAATTTATTTTCAAAGCATTTTACAACAAACTAAATCCATTAAATAGCTTGCATTTCAGATGCCTATTGGTGCATATAGGTGATGCCTGATTTCTGCTTAGAAAGTGTAATATGGTGCCTCCAGGGAGCTAGTTCTGCTGTGTAAAAACTATTAAACAGGAATATGTGGAGACAAACAAAACCAAAGAATCAATAAGATGACTCAGAATACCAATAAGAATCTCGGCGGGAAGGAGAAGAAAGGACAACACTACTGATTTTATATTTATTTTATATGGTCACTGTCCAGTTTGCTGACCCCATTGTTTCAACAGAATAACTCCTCAAATTTGTGGGCTAATGCACATGATTAATCCTCTTCCTCATGGTTACTGCTTTTGTTCCTTTTTGTGTGGATATATGGAACTTTCTTATGCCGTCTACTCATCTGTTACATTGCCTGTGCTGCCTGAGAATGATGGGATTCTTAGTCTGTAACATCTGGAGAATACAGGATTGTGGAGCTCTGATGTGATCTAATATTGTGTACTTTAACAGGCAGCTGTTGTTTTAGGAGATGTTTTCAGCTATACTGTTTGTGCTACTCTCCAGTGCAAATATGAGGAATCAATTTTTCAGTGTACCAAACATGTTATCTATCACCACTACAGCCCATCTCACACCGTCAATAAGTTGTGCCAAATAGTACAGTTTCCTGAAAAATAAAACACAGGTGCTGATCAGCCATCACTAAATACCTTAATATATGCCCCCAGCCACAACATCCCCAACAGCTCCCCAAATCCTTCACTATGGTTTAAGCTTGCTGGGATTTATGAAAAATGAATAGTTGATTTACGTTATTTATATGTTGTCTTGGGTCTCCACTTGGGAGGAAAGGCAGGATAATAAACAAATGAACAAGCAAGCAAACCAGCGAAGAAACAAATAAAAATCCAAAGACATCTGGGGACCCAAGGCTGTGAATGACTGAGCTCTACCTTGAAAAAAAAAAGACAAGGTTGAAAAGGCATATTTATAAGTAACTGAAAAACAAATGCAGATGTCCAAGACTGAACAGTACTAAAGAGGGACTTCTGTATAGCACCTGCTTTTGGACACCATAAAGTGGCAACTCCAGATGGAATTGGGCAAAGGAATGTATTCAGAAAGAGGATTTCAATGTGCTGCAACCACCATGAGAGAATGGGTGCTGCTGGATGTGGCTTCTCTCCCATTTTCCTCATAGGGTGGGATTTGGAAATTGGAGGAAGGGTCTCATGAGGAGGCTTTAGAATGGTGAGCCAGAGATTCCTCCCATCCTTGTTCTGGTGTTACATCACCTTATGTTTTTACGGCCCTTCAACACTCCCAGAGGAATGAACTTACAGTTTGTGAAAGAGATGTGTGGAGCATAAGTAAGGAAAATGGGAACAACTTTATTGATTGCAAATGTGCAACAAGTCTTAAGAAAACCGGGGTTCCTAATTCCCAGCATTGGCCAAGGAACAGCTGAAGTATGAGGCAGACAGTGGCAGGGAGAAAAGGCTCACTTTTATCCTCCTCCTCCCCCCAGTGAGAGTCATGGGCAGGATATGGCCATGTGCGGCTCTTGTCTTCCTGCCTCAAGCAGCAGGATAGCCTGTGCTCATCTTTGGTTAGGAAACACACCAGAAATCCTTTTAGCATTGTTTTCTAGTCTGCACGTGAACACGTTCTACGGGTAAATGTTATTGTACTTTACTCAGACAAATAACCGTAATTCCTCTCTATTTTTCTTTTTTAAATGAAGTTTCTTTGTTTTTCATTTCACACAAGTACAGGTTTCCTGAAATGGAGACTGTTTTTTTTTTTTTTTTTTGGTCAGCTAGCTCTTGCTGTCAGTTGATGTATCTTGAAGTTAACATTCACCTTGAACTTAAAACAATATCAATACTGTCTGAAATATGTTTGATTTTTCATTCTCGGCATTGTTCATCATATTGAGTGTTCGTCCCATAAGTCTAGCTCAGAAAGAAATGAAACTTGGCATTGTGAAGCATCTACAACAAAATATTTTAAAAATCTGTTATTAGAAGAAAAGTCTGTTTTGACTGATGAATAATGAAGTTGGAGCTTTTACTTCCATGTAGCAGGAGGTCTGCTGACAAGTAAGAGTTTACATACTGATCTTGATTTCACCCCAAAATGATTGTGTGTCATATAAAGACACAAACACAGAACAGTTGTAAATGAAAGAGAAAGAAGCTGTTTACTTGCAAATATGCAGAGCTTTTTCAGGAATGACCTGACTAAGGAGGCTTGTCACCTTCATTTCACTGGGTTGTCTTTCTTCTGAATGGTAGAGCACCAAAGCTTCACAAAGTTATGTTTTTTTGGACCGTAACTTCCATAATCCAGCTTCCATTCTAGGCGAGGGGATTCTGGGTGCTGTAATCTAAAAAAATAAATAAATGTAATTTTCCCAAGTTCTTTCGAGCTATTCCTCCTTCAGAGGGCTTGCAGAGTCTCTGCTACATTGAATTAGGTTTGCACAGTGCAAACCTAAAACTGCATAGCTGTGGTGTATGATGGTTCCAGCTGCCTGTCATGAAGTTAGACATACTCAGGTCACACCCACCTGGTTGCTCAACTGTGCATGTGACAGGCGGTCAGAAAATTGTGAAAGCTTCTTGCAGTTTCCCTTACACACATAGTATTTTGCAGATGGAATGTTACCTGACTTCTGCCTCCATGCCATCTTTTTCAATCTCTATTATTATTTTATTGTGCATTTACTCTGACATTGTGCTTCTTGTTAGCTACTTTAGACTTTGCATTTGTTAGAGAGGGATAGATTTAGTCCAAGATAATGATGCTGTTTTGAGAAACTAAATATTTCTTTACAGGGTGCCAGGTTGTTTCTTTCCATTGAGAATACATATATCAACATTATACTTATTAACTTCATTCGCAGAAGGTCCCTTGTGACATGTGTTTTATACGGACTCTATTTCTTATGCCATTATAAGATAACATATAGTAATAGTAAACTCCAGTCATAAGTTCCAGGAGGTTTGTAGACAAAATAAAGCTACCGAAAATCAAATCTGAGATATTGGTGCACCTGAGGAAATCAGAAATCATTCCAGTAAGTACTGAATGGACTAACTAGTTACAAAGAATGGAAATAATTCTATTTTGCTAAATTCCTTCTCCTTACCTATTTTGGGATGAGTCATTTTGACAAGAAATTCTAAAGCCACTTGGGTCCTTGCCTCCAGGAAGACTGAGAAAGAGAACTCATTTCCTCACCTTAAAGTTCTCTGTAATTTATGCAAAATTCCTCACAATCTTGATCTTTGGCAAGCACGCACACTCATACATGCACATATGCAACAAGCAAAGAAGGATTGGTTGATTGTTAAGAAATATGAAAATAATCTACCCATATTCAGTGCTTTAACTTCTTAAACAAATTGCCCTCGTGTTGGTGAATTCATGCAGTTAAATAAATTATTTGAACTGTGCAGTTTTTGTGTAGAAATTGTCAAATTTGCACAAAACATCCTTCTCACCAATATCTTGTCAAGAGCACCAGGACATTCTTGCTGCCAAACAAAGTGTGTTGTGGGTTTCATGTGCAAGAAGAAGAAAAAATTAAAATGTGCACTCCTTGAATTCTGTGTGTGTGTTGGGGGAAAATGGAAAACTGATTGCTTGGGTGGTTGGAATACCTAATAAGAGTACTCCACATTGTGGCATTTCTTTCCAGATCCGATGTGTTCTTTTCTAAATGTCTTCAGCACTTCTAAATCACAAGAAACTGGAAACACAATTCCAGGTTCTTATGTGTGTCTGATCACGTTCCTTTGCTGCTTACAACTGGCCACACATATGGCATCCCTGTCTTTCCTGAAGAGAGTCAGGTTTTGGGGTGTATAGAACTACAGAATATCTTAGAGAAAGGAATCAGATAAGCTCTGTTTAGAAGCATACAAGCATTTTTCTGATGACATCTGCAGTGTCATTTCTGCTGTAAAAGAATTCTGCTACATCTCCTACAAATGTCATTACTGCTGTCAACATTTTCTTGTTTCCACAGCTCATCATGTTAAAACTGGAACTTGTGAAGTGGTGGCACTCCACAGATGCTGCAATAAGAACAAGATAGAAGAAAGATCACAGACAGTCAAGTGCTCCTGCTTTCCTGGGCAGGTAGCAGGTACCACTCGAGCAGCTCCTTCTTGTGTTGATGGTGCGACATATTCTATGGTTTGTTCTTCCGTCTTGAGTCATACGCCTTCCTTGGTTCTTTAAACAATTGCCTTTCATTTAAGCCTGCCAGTATTTATAATGACAAAGAAGATGTTGGGAGTTGTCTGAACGTATATCCAAGGTGAATGATAGCTAAAGGTTTTATAATGAATTAGCAATCCTGGCTGTGAGAAGACCTTGAGAGGAGTAATTTGATGTAAAATCTGAATACCATAGTATTGTATCACATTGATATATTTGAGTGTGGAAAGCCACATCGATATTACTCATACTGTGAATAACAAGATTTGGGGTGGGTCTCATCACAACTGTGCAGAAACAAAAGGGCAAAATTTCTCTACATCATGGTCCTGATCCATTTCAGTTTGCCTTTATACTCTCTCTCTTTTTTAAGAAAAAATTATGCTAGGGTAACCTATGAGCCAAATATCACATGGGTTATGGCCCTAGACTGTTTACCTTTTAAAGAGGATTTTTAAATAAACATGATTTTTTAAAAAATAAATGAACATATAACAATGGTCTAACATGGACTATCCTTCCCACAAAAAACTTGTGATTTCTTTCTTGACATTGCAGTCAGCTACCATGGAAACCACAAGTATATCAAATTCAGAGAATACATTTCTCTGGGAAACTTTGGCATAAATATTTAGTAATTAATAAATATAGGCTAACTGGAAATAGGGGAGAGAAGAAATTAAGCTTTTCAAAGGGATCAGGGCAACAGGATGAAGAGATGTAAGATTAGCCTGAAAAAGATTTTTTTAAAGTAGTCCTAAAGTGAAAAATCTTTGAAGACAAATTGAAAGTATCACAATGCGTGGACAGCTTCCATTATAGATAAATGATGTTATATGTAATTGTTCTCTTTAGCTTATGACACAGATACATTTTTTAAAAACCATATAAATCACAGTCCATTTTTTATAATTTTCTTACCATTTCTCTTAGTACCAGTATGGTATATGTTTTCAAAATTAGCGTAACTAAAAACAGTCTGTGTTTCCCCTTCCTTTAGCTTCAATAGTGGAGCAAAAATGGTGGTGCCACATGCAACCATGCCTTGAAGGAGAAGAATGCAAAGTTCTGCCTGATCGAAAAGGATGGAGTTGTTCTTCTGGGAACAAAGTGAAAACAACAAGGGTTAGTATTGCATTCACATGACATCTTGCAGGTAGCTCTAAACTAGAAGGGGAGTTCTTAAACATGGAGGAATGCAGAATCAGTTAACGACATTAGCAGATTTACCGAATAATCTTTGGGTCAGAGGACCTATGAGAGGTGGGCTTAGTGATAATGCTTGGTGGCTGTGGGGTGTTCCATGACCATGGAACTAGCTGTTGCTGAAGGTGGAGTGGAAACCAAATGGAACGGAGTGACATGAAGGAGGACATGGCTAACATAAGCACCAAACAACAGCCCCACACACTGCAAGGTTCTATTGTAGGTTACACTTATATTCATTAATTTTGTTGGATTTACTAGTTGCTAACAGCAGCAGTCCTAAAGCTGGGCTATTTGGGAGGTTGTCTAGGGCTCTAAGCTGAGGAACTACCAATGTAAGCTGAAGTGGGTGTCATGGTGAGTTAAAAGCTGAACTCAGTGGGTTATTTTTAATCTGTTGTCTGCAGTGAGCTACCAAAAATAGCAACTGGCACAAAAAATACAAATACAAATAAAACATTTGTGATAGTTCTTCTGTTCCATAGCACACTGCCACTGTTCAAAATGTGGCTTTGTGGGCAGTGGCTTGTGCAAATTATAGTACAGGAACTTTATGGATGGATTCTGTGGCACAGCAAGTATCCTGTTTTTCTCATAGAAAACACCAGAGACATTCCAGGGAAATAGTGCAAACAATTAATAAGGAAGTCAGTGCCTCCTGAGCTTTCTAGGTGAAGTCACACTGGATGGTAATTTTATGTAGCAGTTACCACAAGAAAAGGCACAGGGGTGGTTTGAGGTCAGGCCTTTTAATGGAGGAATCCTTTCTGAGTCACTAATAGAGAAGGCCAGTGATAGGTCAACTCCTAGGAAGGAGAAATAAGCACAACTTGATCCGATTCCTTTCTCCCTGAGTAAGAAAAAAAATGAAGCACATCTATGATTCTGCTTCATTGCAGGGCAAGGAGGAACTGCAGGCAAGAATTCTCATATGTTGTCCATGAATGTACTGATTTTTACATGTCACCCTCAGCTTCAAATGCACATGCGGTGCATTGGTTGGGGGCAGCAACAGCACATCTGCCCCGGCCCAGAGAGGAGATATCTGCTCCTCCTTCAGGGAGGAGACCCTGAAGATACTCCTCACCCAGGGCACTTCTTGACCTAGGACAGGCCTTGTCTGTACACATTTAAGGATTAGGCTTTACTGATCTCAATTGGAGAAGCTTTGAAATAAATTTGTTTAGGTATATCTTACATCGACCATTCCTAAGCAGAATGAGTGGCTGAACTGCAGGTTAGAATTTTTTGACAGCCAACCAGGGAAAAATTTACATATCAAATACGTAGCTTCAATATATTCAGCTACCATAAGCAATGTCATCTTCATTTTGCTTTTTTCGAACTGGGGCTGCGTAAGATGAGTACAGGGGAAAATCACCACAAAGGTACTGTTTAAGGGCTGCTTCACACATCTGGGGATGCTTTTTCTGATGTGAACCATATCACATAATATGTAAACCTCATGTGTATACAGTTATGGTAGATTGTCATTTCCCATAACACCTACATATAATAAATTAAATGAATGTAGACTTGTCGTGAGATGCCTACTGTGGTGAACTGGATAGAGTGATGAACCAGGCCTCAGAAACTCTGGGGTCGAATCCCTACTGAGCCACTTGGGGTTTGGAACTGGTAAAACAACTCCTTAAATATCTCATTTACCTTGAAAACTCTGTTAGGGTTACTATAAGTTGGTTTCAACTTGATGTCACAGAACAATAGACCTGCACATTATAACGTGTATGTGTGCTTCATACATTTTATGACATGGGATTATTCTGTAGGAAATTGGTTATAACACACAGTGAAACTTGTATACTTAGACAGATCATCTATGTAGCTCAGTGTTTTCTTCCACGATTTACACATTTCCAAGATGCTCTGGAATTTGGCTATTTATTTGAAAATGCTAGAACATCTGCATGCAAATTAAGTTCTCTACCATTCTGCAATGGGTTTTCTTCCTTTGGAAAATCCATAAGATGGATGAACAGGAATGGTCTTCTAGTAAGTAATTCTGTTTTCCAGACTGCATAATATCTTCTAGAAACAACATATAGTTAATGTTATGTGCTTACTAAAAGGAGGCAACACATGATGATGGGTCATATATTGTGAGGACAGAGAACTTTTCATATAATCTGAATACAGATGTCGGTATTTGTATATGAATATCTCTGCAAAGGTGGCGATAACTAGGGTCCAGCTCCATGGTGCCAGATGGTCCATTCATCAATCTGCCGCTGCCACGGACACCGCGATTCTTCCAATGGCTTTGCAGATTGTGATCTGCAAGCCACTCTTCAACCTTGCAGCGAGGCTTGTCCTCCCACCTCCTGCCAGGAGTAGTTAGCCAATCGCGATCTGCGAAGCCATTGGAAGAATCATGATGTCTGTGGCAGCGGCGGATCAGTGAGTGGACCTAGTTATTGCTACCTGTGCGGGGGTATTCATATACTAATACCCCATCTCTCATTCTGAACCATCTCTGAATACCATGCTGGAGCATAATTTTAAAAGTCTTAATAGTCCAAGAAAAGCCTGGTTATTTGAGGACACCCAAACTCTTTTTACATATCAGAGAATACTGTTTGTCTGCTCCTGCCAATATATTCTAAAACCTTGTTGATACATATGTGAAGCTGTGAAGGGATGCAGTTAATCACACACAACAAACACAAAAGCATATATGAGTGATGAATGAATTAAGCATTTGTAAAAATACGTCATACCTTGGATAGTTCTTAAACATGATGGTATATTTGAATGAAGGTCGCTGGATCCAATATTGGATGCAAGTTGTTTTAGTATATAAACAGATTATAGAACTGAACAGCACTTCAATCAAGTGTTGAAATGTTTTTGTTAATTTGTTAGTAACTCTTATAAGTCATATAGTCGTATACATATATAATTAGAGGTCACAAAGTCGTACAGTCGTATACATATATAATCAGAGGTAAGCTACACTGAGCTCAGTGGGGCTTACTCCTGGTTAAGTGTATAGAATTGCTGCCTTGGCATGATACTCAGCTTTCATCCAATTGCTGAAGGAAAGGACATACAATAAAAGAACTCTCTGTGTGCACCAGAGCTATCTTTGAAAGGAAACTTGAACATTGCACTCATTTCCAAAATGCTTGTGAACTGATGCGTCCAATCCCCCCTCCCATGCCATTACAGAGACTATGATGATTTGTGATATTAATGTAGTCATACAGTATGGAGCTGATAAATGTTGCTATAGCTCTCCTGATTTCCATTTGTTCTGCTAGGACCACTTCTGTGTGGTTGCCTGCCTGCTGAGAGAGGGAACAAAATAGGAATGGATAAGAAAGTACAGTACTGAAGGGCTGAGAATGAATCCCTGGATATAGAGCTGGAATTTATCTTGAAACCAAGGCTGATATTAGTGTCAATGAAGCAGCTATATTGGTTGATGATCTGTCCTCCTCTGAATTACAACAGATGCATAAGCAGTTTAGGCAGCTGCAGAAGGCAGAAAATGGGACAAGTATTGCTGTCTGTGATGGTAAAAAAATGCCTGAAATATTGCTCTCCTGCTAAGCTTTTTCCCTTTGAGTTTTCTTGTGTTCTCAATTTCTTCTTAAAAATAGGACTGCAGTTCAGATTAAGCTAAGATTTGTTATGGTGTGTCATTTATCTTGAAAAACTAGTATGCAGTGGGTGTATTGCAGGGTTATTGATAGATGAGATTCTGTAGGATAGTAGAGTAATGATGCTAGCCCATGAGAAAAGCAAAGAAATATTTCCCATATTCTGGGCACTGTTGTTAACCAACTTAATATGAAATAGCAATTGCTGGCATCAAAGGATAGAATCCAGTGAGAGATTACAAAAGAATGGTGTAGAATGCTGTTTAAGTCTATAATGTTTTACCATTCTGTTCCTTTAGAAGTTAGTGGAAGCTAGAGTTAAAGTAAGTATGGAAGAAAGGCAGATTAAATAGAACCAAACTGATACCTCAGAAGGACAGTCATTAGTCAAAAGCTAAATGCAATATTATTATCCTCTGGTGGAGTAGACCCACTGAAATGAATAAGACTTGTTAGTCGCCACTTAAGGAAGTCTTATTGATTTCCGTGGGCCTATTCTGTTACAGATTTTCTATACCTTAGTTCACTTATCAATCAAAATGGAGACTGCTGCCAAGAAAGCAGAAAACAGATAGTAGGAAGGGCAGCAGTAAATATACTGGAGAAAATCTCAATGTATATGATGCTAGAGGCCAAGGCTCAGATCCATAGTATGGTATTTCCAAACACTGCATGGATGTGAAAGACGGACAGTGAAGAAAGATTATTTTTTTAAAAATCATTCAAAATGTGATGTTGGAAGAGATTTTCCAGAAAGACAATAAGTTAGTTTCAGACCAAATCAAGATCATATCCAGAAAGGCAAATAATTGAGTTCTAGATCAAATCAAGTCCTAATGCTCACTAGAATTTAAAATGACTAAATTGAGCCTACTAGGAAAGTGTGAGGGCAAGAGGAGAAGGGGACAACAGAGGATGAGATGGTTGGATGGCGTCTTCGAGGTGACCAAGATGGATTTGACACAACTCCGGGAGGCAGTGGAGGATAGGAGGGCCTGGCGTGCTCTGGTCCATGGGGTCATGAGGAGTCAGACACGACTAAATGACTAAACGAAATGAAACACTTTGGTTGTATCACTAAGACACAATATTCAGTAAAAAAAACAATAATAGGATGCAAACTAGATAGATAGACAGAGAACAGAGCTGCAAGGAGAAGAAAGCCCCAAGTAGCTTCTGAGAAAGGCATCTGGGGTAGCAAGGAAGCAGAATGCAAACAGAATCTGTGGTGGCCGCTTGCAGATAATATTGTATATGCACAAGGAAAGGACTGGATCCAGAAGAGAAAACTGTAAA